GAACAGAAAATTTCAAAGGTCAGCTCAAGAAGACAAAGTCAAATATTACAACAAAATGTGCAAAGATCTGGAATCAGAAAACTAGAAAGGAAGAACACACTCAGCATTTCTCAAGCTGAGGGAACTAAAGAAAAAATTCAAGCCTTGAATTTCATTATTGAAGGATTCTCTGGGCAAATTATTGAATGATACAGAAAGCATCAAAAGAAGATGGAAGGGATACACAGAGTCACTGTACAGAGGAAATGGTTGCTGTTCAACCATTTCAAGAGGTAGCATATTATCAAGCACCAATGAGCCAATGAAGGAAGCAGTCCAAGGTGCATTGAAGGAACTGGCAAAGAACAAGGCACCAGGAATTGACCGAATAAAAATTGAAATCTTTCAAAAAAGTGAGGCGGCACTGGAGGCACTCACTTATCTATGCCAAGAAATTTGGAAGACAACTAGCTGGCCAACTGATTGGAAGAGATCTGTATTTGTGCCCATTCCAAAGAAAGGTGACCTAATAGAATGCGGAAATCATCAGACAGTATCTTTGATATCCTATGTGAGTAAAGTTTTACTAAAGGTAATATAGAAATGGCTGCAAGCATACATTGACAGAGAACTTCCAGAGCTTCAAGCAGGATTCAGAAATGGACGTGGAACAATGGATATCATTGCTGATGTCTGATGGACCTTGGCTGAAAGCAGAGACTACCAGAAAGAAGTTTACCTGTGATTTATTAACTACGCAAAGGCTTTCGATTGTGTGGATCGTGACAAGCTATGGACAACACTGTGAAGTATGAGTATTCTGGTACATTTAATTGTGCTCATTAGGAATCTGTACATAGACCAAGAGGCAGTTGTTCAAACAAAACATGGGAACGCTGAATGGTTTAAAATTAAGAAAGGTGTGCAACAGGGTTGTATTCTTTCACCATACTTATTCAACCTTGTATGCTGAGCAAACAATCTGAGAAGCTGGGTATATGAGGATAAACATGGCATCAGGATTGGAGGAAGACTCATTAACAACCCACGATATGCAGATGATACAACTTTGTTTGCTGAAAGTTAAGAGGACTTAAAATACTGATGAAGATCAAAGATCACAGCCTTTGGTATGGATTGCATCTCAATGTAAATAAAACACAAATCCTCACCACTGGACCAATAAACTACATTCTTATCAATGGAGAAATGATTGAAGTTGCCAAGGACTTCATTCTGGGATCAACTATCAACACTCATGGAAGCAGCAGTCAAGAAATCAAATGATGTATTGCATTAGGCAAATCTGCTGCACAAGACCTTTTGAAAGTGTTGAAGAGCAAAGATGTCACTAGAGGACTAAGGTGCACCTGACCCAAG